GTGGAAGGTGTGACACGTTGTTGGTTTCCATGCCCATGCGACGACCTAGAGGAGGATCAGTGCGATTGCTGCTCGTGGTAATCGCATGCGAGGATGGGCCATAAACGCCCAGGTGGTGTTGCATGAGGCTTCTTGGGCGGCAGTGGTGACGTAGCTGCCTCCTGAACCTGGCACTAGCGCAATTTGGGTTAGCTCAAACGGGACGGACTTTGACCTGGGCAACCACCGCAACTCCTTCTCGACATCCCACTACTACGTGCGCTCATCATAATCTCCCTGGTGTCGTGCAATAAGTTGTCAGAGGCTTGTGACATGTCGTTCAGTCTGTTGGCTGAGCATGAGGCCGAGAGATGCACACTCCAGACTTCGCTTGACCTGAACATGGCCGATTCGTGACCTAGAGCTTGTTAGCTGGTATGTGACTGCCTATTTCATCTGGCGAGTATAGTGGGTCAATTGCTCTATCTAACATCTGACTAAGCGCTAGTCGACGCGTATTACAAGCGAGTCTCCAACCCTTCGTTAGTATTACGTGTAAGGCGTTCACCCGCTGCGTATAAACCGTCGCTTACCTCAATTGTCGCCCTTGTTTCTTCTTCACCGACTCAAGATGTCCCATTTTTATGTATCGACGGATACAACTCGACGGTTGCCATAAGACTCAGAAGTCCAATTTCGGATTGGTGGGAAGGCATCGAACCCAGATATCAGGTGTTTCAAAATGTTATGGACCTCGCAGAACAGCTGGAAGACGTGGACTCGATATGTGCAAAATCTGGGTTGCAACATGACATTGGCATTCAGCCTTCGGGTCTCCTGCTTTCGGTAGCAGTCGACCAGATAGACGACGACAGGCTTTTTTACTATTCCACGGGTACACTGAGACGATCAGGTGTTCTCATCCGGGACTTCTTGGAAGGGATCATGTGGGGCAGTCGTCACTTGGCTATCACTTTACAGACTGATGCCTTAACAGAAATCGAGCCAGACGCGCTTGCCGATGCGCAAGTCAGAGTCATGGCGATGAACGAGCGTATTGCTGTGATGGAAGCCCGCTCAGCACTCTGGCGAGAACAAGCACAGAGAGGAACGGGTCGGTTAGGCAGAAGACTCGGGACGCTCTAGGGGTTCTAGGAAACTAGGACGAGAGTGTGCAATGATGCAGATCATTCAACATGTGCTTTGTAATAAACATACTCTACCATTGCTTACTTACCATGCATCCTCAGACGACGCGTCCATCTCACGTCCATCTCGTTATGACCCAGCGTCTTCCTACAAGCCAGCTTACAACCCTTCCGATGCGACTTCGACAGAAATCGCTTTTCGCAGTTCAGACCGACAAGTGATAATACGCGCACAAAGCTTGGCGAGGTCTCCGAGAAGTTTCGCAAAGTCGAAGTTATGTGTTTCTTTCTGACCCTCCAACAGATAGCGATCGATAGCCGGATCTAGCTTGGCGATGCCATCTATAGCCTGCACCAGACGAACATAAATGCCGCTTTCATGGTAATCAAGGCGCTGATCAAACCCGAACAGTCTTCCACGACATACGGGACAAGTGGCTCTGCCTTTCTTCAGGTGTTCCTTGAGACAGATGATACCGTGAACGTGGCCGCAGGGAGTACGGACAGCTGGCTCGGTTCTGTTCGAATGCGAGAAGGACACTCTGTAATCGTAATAACAGGCATAGCAGCGGCGGTCGGTCTCATCACTCGCTGCCATTGCTTCTTCGGTACAAGGTGTGGTGAAGTCCGATACCGCTGGGTAGACTGGTGGTCGTTTACTAGGTGAGACCTCCCTGCTCGTGTCAGAGTCGGGGTCGTTGTCTTGGGAGTCGGATGGTACGTTGCCCTCCATATTGTCGTTGTCTTCATCAGCATTTTGATTGTTCTCGTCTTCTGTGGCCTCGTTGTCATTCCCGTCATAAGATGAAGTTTCGCTGAGAGCAACGCTTCGCTCATCCAGCACTGCATCCAACTCACCAATGAACCCTGCTTGCTTGTACCGACAACAAGTCAAGTATGAAACCATACCGGTGAAAAGGTACCACTCCAGACACGTAGAGCTTCGACTTCCTTGTTCATCGAGGTACTCTTTGTGCATCCGATCGCTCAGGCCCTTGCGTAAGCTTTCATATTCCAATGTAAGCTCACGATAATGCCCTTCGGTTGGATACTGTTCTTTGCCTTTAGCTTGACGTTGCTTCAGCCATAGTACTCGGGCCGCGAGGTAGGGGTTTGCGATGGACTCCTTGAATGTGTCGATGTCTAAATTGAAGCGGGGAGGGTCAATAAGCTTGAAAAAGGGCTGGCCTTCGGCGCGATACGCCAATGTCCGAGCGAACACTGCTGCATCTGCAGTGTAGGCTCGATAGTAGTCTCTGGTCCTTTCCCGGTGCAACATTGGCCATCCGTCAGAGAGAGAAGAGAGAGAAGCGATCTCCGTTCTCACTTCAGATGAGTAATTAGACGCTAAACCTTGATCTAGATTGTCTAAAGAGACATGATTAGCCTGGAAACAGGTGTACAAAGTCAGTACATGCATTGTATTCATTTGGCTTCGGGAATTGACTAACCACGAATGTAAGCAACGGTTGAGCTTCTGCCGTGTGTACTGAGTCAAGATCAAGGAGTTGCAGTCCAACGTGCTGCAAGACTTCGAACAATACTCGGTTGATGCGGGTTGTTGAACGATCCAAAAGTTTGAGATGTTCTTCGAATTCTATTCGCGCGGCGTCATCCATCGTGTTCATTGACTCTGGTTCAACACAAGAGCTTGATTGGGGCGCGTGGATGGGCCAGATGTATAGGGTTTGGATTGCTATTCTGTACCGTTTGTCGATCAAGCAGGCATCGACGTAGCAAACTTGTGGTTTGATAGCATCTCTTACACAGAAACACTGAACAGGTCTGTAGACTACATCCAGACAAAAACCTGCAAAGTAGGCAACCTAATGTTAACGTAGGCTCTAGGGTGCTTAGTCCTTTGTTAGGTTAATATGATAGTACTGTGAATGACTCTAAACATAAAAGAACTCGGTAGAGAACACCCACTCTGGAGCAATGAAACCACATGGTGATCAAGCCGAAGTAGCAAAGCAGCCTGAAGCCTAATAGCCCTGCGAAGAATCCCGGGCAGTGAAATGCGAGATTCCATGTAAAAACTTTGGTGGAACCCCCCATCGCCAAATTGTATTGTCATCAACGTAAGCTATTTCGCATACTTTGGGGTAGCTCTCATGAGACAAGTATGGACCAAGATAGGTGCACATTTTCGTATGACAACCTAAGACGCGACGAGTAAGCCAGCGCATTGTCTCATCATGTGGAAAAAGGACAGAAGGCATCAGACCCCAGCGCAAGAATTAGAAACGACCAATACAGCGACTTCAACAGTCGCTATTAACAGTCTTGGTATTCTGTCCTGCATCGAGTACTGCTCCCCAACGGGGCGATGGCTTGGCTTCAGGTCGCATGGTCTTCGCCGGCTACATGCTGCATTTTGAGTTCGCGATTGTTCGGTCCTTGTAGCTTGGTGGTTTCAACCTTGTTCATCAAGTGCCGAAAGCCCAGGTACAGGCCAGAAAACATGTTGACCATGGCAATCGCGCCTACGAAGCTGGGAAGCTGTACCGAGTCTTACCTTCGTCGATAATCGTCGACATCCTGGTACCAAAGCTTGAAACCGTATGAAAATAATAAATTCGCAGCATGAACCATGCTGGTCGCCATATAGTAGATGGTCATGAGGCGTCGATGGAATGTAGCCTTCATGACAAGACCAACGGTGCGTCTGCTGGTGATGAGGCAAGTGCCGGCCAAACAAGATACCAGTATCTGTACAGTAAATCATGGCAAGGGTACTGCAAGGATGCAATACACCAAATGTAGTGGAAGTACTGCCCGGGCACAATCAGAGAGCGCCAGCGCACCTCGTGACGGCACGCCCGGGTTTGAGGGTCGCATGATCTGGTGTCGCATAAGTATTGGCTGCACCCTTCGCCGGACGATGATCGCAAGAACGTGATACTCACCGCCATAGTCACTCTATATATCGTCTTAGCACTTTTACTGTCTGCTTGATACTAAATCCAAGAGTTTGAACGCATCACTTTGTCTCCCCCGTCGATGTCGAAAGCCTGAGGTGCGACATCTGTTTTGCCCCGCCACCCCGCCTCCTCGGCTGTGGCGCCCGTTATCGCTTATCGCGACATTTCCGCATCCGTCTTCGGCGCGTCATCTGCTCCTTCGCGTCGACACGCCTCAAAGGGCGGGCAGCCTCCCCCGGGAGCGTCTTACTTATCTCGAGCTCAAGGACAAAGAGCCTCGTCTCCTTTCACTCGCGCAACGCGTAGTCACTTCTTTTGCCCTAGTCGAGCCAGCACCGGCCGGACGTTCATCAGGCGGCACAACTACACCATACTCACGTCACGATCTCCACCAGAAAGCAAAAAGCGAGACCTCATAGATTAGCCGTCCGAAGGCCTCGAGGAACATTTCTTCCCATAGCGCCAGGCGATAGTCGCACCACTATACCACCACTAATATTACGACCAACCCTCTGTAGTACACCATGCCGAGCTCACCAACGCAACCATTCCCTCTCTACCTATTCCCTAGCCTTCCCTTCCGCCGCCGCCGAAGCTCTGCCATCAGCACCTCGACCGCCTCCACATCTCCGTCCTCATCTCCACCTCAGCCGACCTCTTTCTTGACAGCCCAGCCGAACTCACATCTGCGCTGTCAGAAGTGCCTAGCCGACCTCATCCCCACGTCATCCATCATAAGCAAAGGGTTCACGGGGCGTCATGGTCGCGCATATCTTGTAGGACCTCCATCGGCATCCAGCGCATTTGCTGGTGGTGACATGTCGGCGACAGGCTGGAAGGCGGGCGACCTACCGAACACCTTGACGCACAAAGCCCATGCTCGTCAGCTGGTCACAGGTGCCCATACTGTATCTGACATTAGCTGTCGCAGCTGTGGTAGCGTCCTGGGATGGAAGTACGTCGATGCTGCTGAAGAGACTCAGAAGTACAAGGTCGGCAAATTCATACTGGAGACGAAGAGAGTCGTCAAAGGCGCGGAATGGGACGAGAGCGTAGAGGAGGAAGACAACGGCATGGTGCTGGAGAAGGAAGGTGAGATCGAGTTCGATTCGCAGGACGAAGACGAATGCGAGGACCTCTTCAGCGGCATCTGGAGCCCCCAACTTGCGAGCAAGAGGAGGAAGCGCCGTGCCTACGGTGACATTGACTTGTCGGTGTGAGCTTGTGGACCCTTCGAAATCCACGTTACGAATGCTTCTGAGCGTATACTACGGCGTATAGCCTGCGATTCGACATGAGAAACGAACGAATACCCCGGAAAGATAGATACACTTCCACTTTTGATACCCAGGAAAGGCGCATGGTTTTGGCGTAATGGCTTGCTTTTTCTCAACGACATGCGTGTGTACCTAGCTTATGAACCATGGTACACAACACCACGATAATTTGATCGTCTCCAACTTTACAACAAGTAGATCTCACCATGTAATGATGACCCATGGACTTTGATCTGTTCAAGGACGCTGTTAAGCCTCCGACATCCTCTCTTCTCTAGAATAACCGATATGCCGTATTCACAACTTCGCACTCGCCCCCTTCTCTCCCCTCGCCACCTCAGCAACCTCACTCGAGCTCTCAGGATTCCACCCAGCGATCAGGTCCTCTACAACATTGATCTCATCCTGTCCCCACACCAACCCGCCAACTGCTTTCCACTCGCCCGCATCTGTTTGCCTCAACACACGATACGTTGGTACGCCGCAAAGACCCAAGTCCTTAGCCTCCGCAGTCAAAGCTCGTAGTTTGGCTTTTATCTCGGGATTGTTCGCGCGAGCGATGAGATCAGCACCGTTGAAACCGCCTTCGTCAAGAACACTGCGGAGGATAGAATCGTCCGAGACGTTCTGGTTGTGGGACCAGCATGCTTCGACTGTGGCAGATTAGCATATTGCGTAGCATGTATGACACGTACTAAAAAAGATCGAAAATGCGACTTACACAATAGATTTGTGGTCTTCGGCTCCACAATAGCCACCCTCAACACAGTCGGCGTCCGAATAGGGAACGTATCCGCCCAATGGAACTTGACTTGTCTTCCACCATCCTGCGCGCTAATAGCATTCCAGTACTCCGTCCAATCCGCGTGATCCTGTCTCGACCACTTCGCCTTCGCAGGACTAACTGCCGACCCAGGTAGATTCGGCGCGCCGATCTCCCTGAACAATATGCCCAGCAAAAACGGTTTCATGACAACCTCCAGTCCCGGACCAAAGTTACTCTTCAGTCTTTCCAGTTGCGTGTACCCCAAAAACGCCCACGGACTGCTGAAATCGAACCAAAACTCCAACTTGACACGACCGTGAGGAGTGTTCCTAGGGTTGCAGCGAGGCATCAAACTCTTGAGTCCAGAGACACCACTCCACCCTTTACCAGCCGAAGTTGAGGAGGAAAGAGCATTTAACGTCGCCTCAACAAAATGCATACGATCCTGTCCCCAAAAGAACCTCCCTTTCTTCTCTTCGCCACTAATCCCCGTCCAAACCGCATCCGGGATCCAGAAGCCCGGAACACCAAAAGCACCTCTCTGAATCGCTTCTTCGGTGCTCTTTTCCAACTCTTTCCTCGCTTCAACATCAGCAAAACACTCTTCCCCCAATCCTTCAACCCCACACTCCCTCGCAATCTGCAAAAGCGTCGTGTTAGAATTCACATCTTGGCCGTCTACCCAATAAGCCTGGAATAACCGATCCGTAAGCAGCCTCCTCTTCTCTTGATCCTTCACACAGTACAACAAACGCAATGCATTGACTGTTTTGCGCGGATGCTGGGGTGGGGGATTGTATCGGATGTTGTATCTGCGGAGTGTGCGCTGCATACCCTGTGCTGTGACGGCCTTTTTGGCGGAGTTGAAGACATCAGATGCGGAGCCGCCGGCACCTTGGGGCGCGGATGTTGCGCGGTAGATGGCGCCTAGGAGGACGGGTTTGTAAATTAGGGTTGAGGAAGTGCGTTGGGCGAGGGATTGGACGCGTGTTGAGGCTATGTAGGCGAAGGGGCAGGAGATGTCGTAGTTGAACTCTAGCGTGGGCTGGGGGGCGGTGTTTGGCATGGTGTTGGTCGGGTGATAAAAGGTTGTTGATTGTTAAGATGCAGCATGAAGATACGCATGAAGATGAGTTAGTCTACAGATGCAAACCATGAGTAAGCTTGGGCGACTGGTAAGCTTCAGCTCGGTATACTGTAGCGTAGGTGTGGGGTAGATTTAGATACAGCCGAGGTTCATGCTATGCGCAAGAACACCAACACCTTCCATCATGGTGACTGACTCCGAAAATTGATATTTTTATAGTATCTACCTCTTATGAACAATGTCTTCTACCACACGTGATCGACCCCTCTAGTCTATGCATAGTTGAAGCTAGTTCTGCAGAGTGGACAGGTCGAGGCATCACTACTCTTGAACCACTTGAACAGGCACACGCCATGGAACAAGTTCTTGCAAGTGTGACACTTCTTGTCAGGCAACTTGCGATCAGATCCGACTATACTATAGCAGATCGCGCATTCGATCTGACCCTTGAGCGCTCCATCGACGTTCCTCTTGAACGTGGTCAGCGCATCGATCAGGCTGCCGTTGAAGATCGTGATAGCTCCCAACGAAGTCCTCAGCCATGATTGCCACTTCTGTTCGTTGACGGCAACGCGATTCAGGCCTTCAATATGGGCATTTGCGAGAGGGAATGCGGCAGGCAGAGAAATCCTCATCGCCATGGTTTGTTCGTCGACAACGTAGGACGCAGTGATCTCGCGCGCGCGGTTGACAACCTTGACCGCGAATGCTGAATCGGGCTCAGATGCGGCTTGTTCTTCTGACCATGTGTTGACTGCGTTGAGGGCGGCCACAATCACAGGTGGTGACACGTACTTTTCCGTCCAAGGCTCGAGCGCAACGACTGTGGCGCGCGACTTGCAGCTCTTGAACCAGGTCTTTGTCAGAGATGGAACGTCGCGCAGACACAAGAAGTATAAGTGTGTAAGTAGCCATTGCAGATCGCGCTTTGGAGGCTCAACATCTGCTTCGTATGTCGTGATGTCAAGTTTGGAGACGTCGACTGGCTTGTTGTGCGCGTGGCCAAGGAAGTCGAACATGAAATCGAGCAGACCTGGAAGGTATTCACCTTCTCTGATGTGCTCAACGTAGTCGTTCTTGACTTTGAAGGATGCATGTGCCAGGTGATCGAATACCAGCAACCAGCTCAACAGGTAGCCCCGCAACGGCAACGGCACGCTGCGTTCAAAGTTGGCATCGGCAATCGCCGCAACCGTAGGCGCGTCGATGATCAGAGATAGCAACTCCTCGGGTAAACGCGCGGTAGTCTTCTCCAATGCCGCATCGATAGATATCTGCTCCTGAGCTGCGGGAATTTGCTTATGCAGGATGTCGAAGGCAGTTTGCTGGACAGGTTGCGATTCCACATAGAGAAGAGGGAATAGCTCTTCCGTGGACTCCAGATGCTTGAGCGATACCTTGGAAATCTGGCGCGCTAGCACATCATTAACCATCTTGAGCGGCTGATGGAACTCATCCGGAAAGTGCTGCGAATGCTTCAAGATGTTGATAAGCCCATCAGCAACTGGTTGCTCGTTCTCTTTCCAAGCGTCGAGAAGATCATCGTTGGGCTCTTCGGCTCGCGTCAAAGTTCGGAGCTGTGCGTATAGCTTTAGGGATGCGTGCACGAGAGGAATCGGGCTATCCATGCCAGACTCGTTTGACTCCAGCTCCTTCGTGGTCGCCCAGATCCCGGCAAGTGCACCCAAAATGCCAGCCCAGTGCTCGCCGTACATATCGCCGATCAATGGAAGCAATACTGTCAACGCGCGACACAATTCGGCCTTGACAGGACGCGAGAGTGCGTCTTCTTGCAGCCACGGTACAACATGCTGAACAAATCGCATAAGACGAGGACCGGCGATGCTTTCCAAAATCCCCTCTTGACCCATAACACTGTTCAATAGAACAAGCTGCTGTAGTGCCTCTTGCGACTTTTGCAGGGCATCGATACCCGTCAGATCGGCTATGATCTCATTACACATGCGCTCACAAGCCTTTGCATATGACAGTGGCTCCTTGAAAGCGTTCAGCAACGCAAGAAGCTGGAGGACGTTCTTTGAACTTCGTGTCGTTTTGAGCGTTTCCTGAAGTTGAGCAGTTTGTGAATTCTTCCAACCAGCGATCTCAATGGCATCGGCGATTATGACAGCGTATGCTCGTGCGTGGTAGTAGGCTGGAGATGTCGCGCTGGCGTCTATGCTTTCCAAGAGTGTGTTCGCCCAGGACAACAGCGAAGCGTCGTCATTATCCTTCGACCACGTCGCAACGAGGCTCTTTAGTTCGTGTGTCACAAGAGCTTGAGCATCCGAGATGAAGGTCATGGCCTCGGCTTCTACATCTGAGTTGTAGTGTGCCCAGAAACCGTTCGCGCCAGCGAGGCCAAGGTTATCATCTGCAAGTTGTACGGCGACCGCAATGTTGCGCAGATAGGCAGTCCGAAGTTCAGCAGGAAGCTTGTCCATGGAGAAATAGTCGGGGTTCTTGAAAAGCCTCGCCACATACTGCGTAATTCTGTATGCAGGAGAGTAGCCATCGGCGTCCCGTGACATGGTCCTGATTGTAGAGGGCATCTGTCCATCCTTCACCAGATATACAGCGCCACCAAGAGGATTCGTAATGGCCAGAGACGATTTTGGTGCAGCGTTGAGAAATGGCTCCAGAGATGCATTCCAATCGTCGATGCTTGGAAAAACTTTAGTAATCTCATCCCAGTCACCACCAGCTTTGACAGACTGCTTTGCCAAGTCAACCAGAGTCTCAACCGAGACCGATGTTGGGGTTGCGTCTCGTAGCCCTTGTTGAACAAGATTGTAGATAGATTGCTTGGAGTCAGATCCAGATGATAGTATTGTCTGGATGGAAGCATTGACAGCTTTAGCGCCCTGCGCCACATCATCATCTGGAGATTCCGAGGCGAGGAGCAGGCCCTGCAGGAGGCCAGAGCCTTGTGGACTCGCGACAAACTCTCGGAGCATCGGCGGGTTCGATTTGACTATTTGACGTAGGCCCTGCAATGAGTACGGAGCCTGGTGCGATATCGAGAGGGTTTCCGTCATGTAAGCAAGGATCTCATCTGTTGTTTCCGGAGCTAGTATCTTCGCCGGCGATTGAAGCATGCGGTTGAAGGAGTCCCATTCGGTAGAGCCTTCCACAGCCTCGCGTACGTTCGCAGTGATGTACTTTTGCAACTCAGGGTCCGAGCTTGCAAGGTCGAAGGAGGGCGGAATCCTGGAAGAGGTAAGAATTGCTTCAAGCGCCTTGGTCTTCGCCGGAGAGTCTGTCTCTTTGAGAACAGTCTTGAGCGACGCGCTCCATGCGTCCTTGAAATACGCGCGATCGGATTTGGTGTACAGTATGTCGATCAGGTATGAAGACGAAGGTGATAGCACCAGACCTGGGAGATCCTGTTGTATGAATGACTCTAGGTCTTGTTCGGATTGGGTAGATGAAATCAAGCTAGGATTTCGTTTCGGCAAAACCGCGATGGTGCCCGCTGCGCCATATGGCTTTCCGTTTCTGTTCTTCAGTACTTCCAGAGCTTCTGCAACTATTGACGAGCAAGCTTGGGAAAGAATAGATTGTAGCTTCGCCAAATTCTCGATCGTGAGCGCTTGGTCTTGTATAGTTGCGAAGCGTGTGGCATGCTGAATGACGCTCGTTTGAGACTTTTCATAGTCTTTCGACTGCTCGGGGGCCAGGGTTTTGATGGCATCGATCAATTGTTGTGAGAAAGTAGGCCATTGCTCTTCTAGCACAACGGCCATTCCTTGAATGCCTAATGCTTTGGAGAGCAGACCTGGAGCATTAGAAGGCACGGCCCAATGCGAGGTCTCTAGCGTTGGTCGCAGGTACTGCGTTATTATTGGTAGCACCATCTCCTGGAGGAGCTTGGTCTTTTCCTCATCACTGAGTCGCTGAACCAGATACCCAGCCACTTCCAGGTAAGTTTTGAATCCCGCTTCGTGGTTGTACTTTGGCTCGTCCTTGCGGATAATGCCACCGTGCAGAGCGTTCAGCAGCTCCGCGGAGTCGGTACTGCTTTGTGGCAGGACTTCTTCTGGTATGATCTTCAACAGTTCAGGTATGCGGGCCCAGGTATCACGGGGTCCTAATTGAGAACCCTTCTTCAGGAACTGCCGTAGGCGTCTGTCCACTCCAGTCTTGCTTTTGTAGTCGGTAGTCCACACGGAGGGGTGTTTGGAAGTGAGGAGGGTCAAAGACTCGACGTAATCGCCGACAGAACCGGTCTGATCGGAGTTCAACCCCTCTGCTAGGTATGCCTTGCTCAGGGTATCGCGGTTCTCTTCGATAGCAGCATCCTCCTTCGCAACGCATGTCCTAAGAAGACGGTGCACTGCGCGCCGTATGCCAGCGTCATTGTATGAAGCAAATTGCCACAGCTTCTTGTCGCCAATCAAAGTCGCGTAGTCGGCGTGGTACTTAGAGAGCTCCTCGGGCTGCAGGTTGTTCAACAGGCTGCCCAGTAAGGAAATGCATGCGGAGATGACGCGGCTATACTTTGCTTCCGCGTCGTCTTTGCTGACTATCCGCTCGTCGCTCAGAGTCGCCGTACTCTCCTTGTCCACTGCGTCGCGACAGTACTCTAGTATGGGTTGCTGGTAGACTTTCCGAATGCTCTGCAGCTTTTCGGGTGTGTTGAAGACTTGTCGGAGCGAGGTCTGCGTCGCGTCTACCACAGATCGGTCGCTGTCATAGAGACCACATAGCCACGCTGCCACGCTCTTAGGCATGTGTCGTGCTATGCGCTTGCCGGCGGATACGGCGAATTGGCCGTGGACGAGGTGGGCATTCTGGCGAACGGCTTTCGCGTTGTCGATCGAGGTTCGCGGGTATATCTTGATCCATGCCTCGAGCAGGCCCTCTTCGACTGGCTCTTGCAGTGACGATATGTACGATTGTATGTCCTCCAGCGCCTTTGCCTTGGTTGTGCTGTCCTTCTTGGACAGATTGCGGAAGTAGACGACGACGTTTGGGTCCGAGATGGCGGAGAGGTCTGGGGGCTCGGATACGTAGGACAGGGGCGACGTGCTCGCGCTGAAGGCTGCTGATGCGCCGCCGAATGCGCCGAAGGAGGTCGTGGCCGCCCGCGCGCTGCTCGCCTGTGCCTTTGCTGTACGCTTTGACATGGTGGGGTTGCGTGAGGGCTGTGTCCCTCAGGGTCGAGGTCGGGGGAGAGGTAGGCGGGATTGTCTTTGTGGCGACGGAACAAGTGAAAGCCAGCTGCAGCTACGTATCCAAATACACAAAAGGAACCCACGCTCGCACGTCAGTCACCATGGCAGAGGCTTGCGGATTACGCGAAATATGCGGCTCTGCTTGATGACGGCACCAACTGTGGGTAGCGGAAGATGGTGGGACATCCCTGCAATTCGCCCAGACCCAATTCGTCCTAGTTTGTCGCGCTGACCGCGACCGAACTTCGTCTGGAGGCAACGCACACTCGCGACTTCTCTTCGTTTCCGCCAACTCCCCTCCGCTACAACAAAATCCGCGCGGGCGGTGGACCATCAACATGAGGTTCTACATCGATAACCTCCCCGTGCTATTCCCATATCCCCGAGTATATCCAGAGCAATATGCCTACATGTGCGATCTCAAGCGCACCCTGGATCAGGGTGGCCACTGTGTTCTCGAGATGCCTTCAGGAACGGGTAAAACCATTTCTCTGCTCTCACTCATTGTCGCTTACCAGCAGCACTATCCTGAAAAACGGAAGCTGATCTACTGTTCGCGTACCATGTCCGAGATCGAAAAGGCCTTGGCTGAACTCAAGGCGCTGATGAAGTACCGTACTACCGAGCTGGGCTACGAGGAAGAATTTCGGGGTCTTGGATTGACCAGTCGGAAAAATCTATGTCTGCACCCGTCTGTCAAACGAGAGAAGAGCGGGACCGTAGTAGACGCGAGATGTCGCAGCTTGACTGCTGGCTTTGTGAAGGAGAAGAAGGAGCGCGGCGAAGATGTCGAGCTTTGCGTGTACCACGAGAACTTGGATCTTCTGGAACCTCACAATCTCATACCGGCTGGCGTATGGACTTTCGATGGCATACTGAAGTATGGTGAGCAGCAGAAACAGTGTCCTTACTTTACAGCCCGGAGAATGATGCCCTATTGCAACGTCATCATCTACTCCTACCACTACCTCTTAGATCCCAAGATCGCAGACAGAGTATCCAAAGAACTATCCAAAGACTGCATTGTCGTTTTCGACGAAGCCCACAACATCGACAACGTGTGCATCGAATCTCTCAGCATCGACCTTACCGAAGATGTACTCCGAAAAGCTACCAAAGGTGTCAACAACCTCGATCGCAAGATAACAGAAATGAAGACTAGCGATGCAACCAAGTTGCAAAATGAATACGCAAAGCTAGTCGAGGGTCTCAGAGCTGCCGATGAAGCGCGAAACGAAGACGCCTTCATGGCCAATCCAGCATTACCAGACGATCTCCTCACAGAAGCTGTGCCCGGTAACATCCGGCGAGCGGAGCACTTCGTTGCCTTCCTCAAGCGCTTCATCGAGTATCTCAAGACGCGCATGAAGGTGCTCAACGTCGTCGCAGACACACCACCAGATTTCCTCAAACATTGCAAAGACTTGACCTTCATCGAGCGAAAACCCCTCAGATTCTGCGCCGAGCGGTTGACATCACTTGTCCGAACCTTGGAACTCACTAATATTGAAGACTACCAGCCGCTCCAGGAGGTCGCTACCTTCGCCACGCTAGTAGCTACATACGAGACCGGCTTCCTTTTGATCATTGAGCCCTTCGAATCAGCGACGGCAACAGTACCGAACCCTGTTTTACATCTCACCTGTTTAGACGCGGCCATAGCCATCAAGCCCGTCTTCGAGCGCTTCTACTCCGTCATCGTTACTTCCGGAACCATGTCTCCGCTCGACATGTACCCACGCATGCTCAACTTCAATACCGTTGTTCAAGAGTCGTTCACCATGACACTCACACGGAAGACATTCTTACCTATGATTGTCGATCGCGGTAACGACCAGAACCAAGTCACATCGCAATTCGAACACCGCAACGACTTGCAAGTGCAGCGGAACTTTGGCAATCTGCTCATCGAGTTCTGCAAACTGACGCCAGACGGTGTCGTCGTATTCTTCCCGTCATATCTGTACATGGAGAGCATCATCTCAGCATGGCAAGGCATGGAGATTCTCGACACAGTCTGGAAGTATAAACTCATCCTCGTTGAAACACCCGACGCCCAAGAAACCGCCCTCGCGCTAGAAACCTTCCGCACAGCCTGCAACAACGGCCGCGGCGCCGTCCTACTCTGCGTCGCGCGAGGAAAGGTCAGCGAAGGAATTGACTTCGACCACCACTACGGCCGCTCTGTGCTGTGCATGGGTGTACCATACCAATACACCGAATCCAGAATTCTGAAAGCGCGATTGGAGTTCCTGAGAGAAACCTACCGCATCAAAGAAGCAGACTTCCTCTCCTTCGATGCCATGCGCCACGCAGCCCAATGTCTAGGTCGCGTCATCCGCGGTAAAGACGACTACGGAATCATGGTCCTGGCAGACAAACGCTTCAACAAGAAGCAAACCCAGCTCCCCAAATGGATTCAACAAGGTCTCGACGCTAAGAGCACAAAGCTGTCCATTGACCAGGCTGTAGGCGCCGCAAAGGCCTTCTTGAAAGACATGAGTGTCCCGTTCAGCCGAGCGGAAACAGAAGGACACTCGTCGTGGTCGCTGGAGGATCTAGAGGCGCATCAGCGCAAGAAGGAGGCTCATGGCATTAGTGGAACGGACAACCCAGCTATGCGCGCGTTGGAAGGCAGAGCCGAAGTCGAGCGCATGGAGGTTGATGAAGTGGACGAGTTTGGGGGCACGGCGGATGTTGATGCTGAGATGGCTGAGATGGCAACTGTCGACGTATAGGACGGCGGAGGCGACAAGCCAATCCCTCGTGAATATCCTCACCTAAGGGGCGGTGTTAGTGAGACCGGCAATTCATCATCGTAGCGCTTGGGTTGGATAATATATCGGGCAGCGCACCAAAAGGGTGATTTGGAATATGGTAGAACAATAGAATTGAAGGCGCATGATAAGCCGTGGTTCTGAGATCATCCACTTGACAGACGTATGCGCGACTATACGGTCAGATAGACACTTGCAGATAATCGGCACGTCAGAGTAGGCATGTGGAATCGGGTTACAAATATCGCATTCAACTATGAACCTGTCAGGACAGAACACCCTGCTAGGCAACCATACACATTGCAAGCGACCGGACTCCATGCGTGCTACTTAGGAAGAAGAACCAACGCCCCAGTCCGCCATGCAGAACTCCTCAGGAAAAGAGAAACTCGGACCATATGCTGTGTTGTAGCGACTGACACCAAGAACCCTAACCATGTTCCCATTTTCTCAGTACGTTTATATCTCCATATCCATGAACAACCATTTCTTGCTTGTCAACTCTTCGCCCTGGCTGAACTCGTCGAGCGTTGTGAGGCCGAAGCCGATCCAGCCCAGATCCTTGGTTACGTTGGCCAGAGCGGATTGGTCGACGTGGCGGTCGATGCACAGGACGAGACGATCGCAGGAGAAGTAGTCGACTTCGCAGAGTTCGAGGAGGGCCATGAGACTGTGGAGCGTTAGTATCTCGATACCGAGGACGCGAATGCTGACTTACCCAGCCTTCAAATCCCCGTTGATGACGGATTCATCGAAGAAGATGAACATGGCCCTCTCGTCTTCCTTCTGAGCAACGAAACCCCGGAACCTAATGCCACCAACGTAGTCCCACATCTCAATGTAGTCGGCTATCGCGCCCTTCTCCTCGAACCGCACCATTTCAGGAGCAGCAGAGTCGGTCGAAGAGTCCGAGTAGCGACGAGCATCGATACCGTAGTCGTTGGTGATAGCGGCGGTCGCAGTCGTAGTGTTGTCATATGGCATACCCATCACTAGCGAGTTCTGGCGATGCTGGCTCCCCTCACCCAGGAATACAGATCGCAGTGTCTCGCAGAAGAGTCTCTCACACTCTCCCGTGATGGTGTATGCTGCCCCCCCTCTGCGCGCCTTGCCACCTTGGGCGGTGGATGCGTTTTTGGCGGCGAGGGGGGGACTTGAAGGGGGTGATGGAATTCCCTGTGGATGTTAGTAGTGGTTCCTACATAGAACGTAAGGCGTGGACATACCGAGCTGACCTCAGGAACACCACCCGGCCCCGGCAGACGGGGTAGTGGAGTAATGGAAGCCGTGAAGGCTGGCGGTAGCGGCATTTACGGAGTAGCAGCTAGCGCGGACATTGCTCGCGGACGAGTACGAATGAATGCTACTATTACTACTCATACTACTACTGCTTCGTTTCGTCATCGCCATTGCTACAGTATTGCCACGGTTGGTTCGGTTTTGGAGTAGTGAGGTAGTGGTGTCGAAGACGGTGGTGCGTAAGCAAGATTGTTCTTTGAGGTAATTGCGGTATCGTGTAACAGAGGGCTTGAGTCGACGTTGGAGTTGGGCGAAGACGAAGAGGAGTTGGGTTATAGCGTTGTGGGGTCTTTGGGGCTCGTGCACGCGTCTCGCACTGTGAATGGCCCGCCACTAGCGCTAGAATCTTCGCAATCTCGGAAGCCTCGGTTCTGCATTTTATCATAATGACTTGTTTGGATTTAGGAACGTCGGAACTGGAATGTGAACAGCAGGGTTGAAGCATGTCACCTTGATCATGTGGCACTTTTGCAGACATGGCACGTTCTGGATGTTGCTTGAAGATTGTGTATTACTACCGCTCATACATCTCAACCGGAACACCGTGTAACTTTTCAAAGTAGCTTCCTCAGCGAACCTTTGCTCTTTGGCAACATCGCCTCGCTATATCACTTACAGACCCGCCATATAGAAAAGACATTGGCGAAGAGGACTGAGAGATCCTTCCTCCTTGCACACATCTAATGAAACAACCCCAGATTATGCAAGTCGGATATCTCAGACGACGCGCTATGCAGTTGATACAGAGACAGAAACGGAAATGAGAATGGCGCGAACGCACGCAGGTAGGCGGGGTCCTGCATGGGAGTGGATCCAATCCTGACGGGACCAAGTGGACCCTACTGCGCGTGGATTTTTGCAGAAACGCGTTTAACCGACCGAGATGCACTTGATGTCGAAGATCAAGTCAGAGTTAGGAGGAATGTCCGGGGGAGCACCCTTCTTGCCGTAAGCCATCGCCGCAGGGATGGTAAGACGACGCTCGCCGCCGGCGGTCATGCCAGCGACACCGACGTCCCAACCCTTGATGACTTGGCCGACACCAAGCTTGAACGAGAATGGCTTGCCCTTCTTGTTGGCTGCGTATTTGTTAGGCAAGGTGATACTATGTAAAACGTCGGAAACTTACAGTCAAAGACCTTCCCGTTCTTCAGCTTGCCAATGTAGCGCATCTCGACGCGGTCGCCCTTCTTGGCGGCTTTGCCCTTGCCCTCCTTCTTGTCGTCGACGAGAACACCACTGACGGTGCGAGGTCCCTTGGCGGCCTCCTTCTTTGCCTCTGGCTTGGCGTCAACCTTGGGGGAGCCAGTTGGGCCCTGCTCAAGGTTCTTAGCGAACTGAACCTTCTTCTTGTCGCTGCTGGGGGTATCAACCTTCTCGGCCTTCTTCTCTGGCTCTGCGGCACCGGCAACAGCCTGACCGTCGTTCTTCTTCAGCTTCTTAGCCTGCTTCTTGCTGAGCTTAGCGTCACCGTTGGTCTTGCTGATCATGTCATCGAGGGTAGCATCATCCTCAGCAGCGCGCTTCTTGCTCTTCTTGCTGGCGTCAACAAGCTTGGGTGGCTCCTCATCGTCGCTGTCAACCTCAGTGATCCTGGGGTCGTTCATGCCATCGAGCTCATCATCCTCTGATTCTCCCATACCGTCGAGCTCCTCGTCTTCGGAGCCGAGATCGTAGCCGAGCTCGTCGAGACCATCATCCTCGTCGTCCTCCTCCTCATCCTCATCGGGGAAAGCGAGGTAGTTACCGGTGACGTAGACGTCGTGAGTGCCGCTGACGGAAAGGTAGACCTCCTCACCTTGACGGACGGTGATGTCGAGCGGTTGCTGGTAGTGCTACGCAGGTATTAGCTGGAGTCTATTTGAAATTGTCCTGATCACGCATACCTTCTCGGGGTCAAGAGTGCACAGAACAAGCTCTTCAGGCTCGTCATCATCATCCTCATCGTCCTCGTCGTCCTCGTCGCTCAAGTCGTCGTCGGTGACTTTGGCCTTACCCTTGGCCTTTCCCTTGCCGTTGGTCATGCCGTCGATGTCCATCTCATCGGCCTCAAGCTCTTCTTGCAGCTTCTTGGTGAGGGCTGCCTGCTTGGCCTTCTTTGACCGGGCAGGGTCGCTGGGGCCACCGTTCTTCTCGCTCTCGCTATCGTCGGAGTCGGACATGTCCGAGTCAGCCTCAGGGAGCGCACCGGCGGCACGCAGACGAGCAGCAATAGCCTCAATGTCACCCTCCTCGTAGTCCTCATCATCATCATCGTCCGAGTCAAAGTCCATGGGCACTCGGATGAGCTTCAGAGTCGCGCGAGGGTGCTTGTGCTCGTCGTCGATTTGAGGCTCGGCATCTGGGTCGATAGCCGCCATGGTGATGCGGAACTAATCATGATCAGTACTTTCTCATGGAATTGCGCATGCGACAGAGTTTTACTGCGAATTTTCGGCGCACAAAACTTCGTAATGCAGAGCAGGTAGAACCGGGCATCAAAGCTACTCACAGTGGAAGACTGGTCATCAGCAGCCAGAATGGGAAAGTTTCCAGCTGGGATGCGACGTCCGTAGACGCCTACGGGAATGGCGGACGACATCTTGGAAGTGGTCGCAAGTCTTCGTCTGGAGGAGTTGAGGGGATTGTTGAGAGTATGAAGTCGGCGCACGTGTTTATTGCTCAGGAAGTTGCACAGCTCGAGAACAGCTGGTAGAGCAGGATGATAACGAAAAGCAAGAAACTGAAGAGCAGCGACTTCGAGAGGTAGAAAAAGTTCGCCAAGGCCTGCAGCTTTCTCTTAGCGTGCTTTCACCGCCGGCAGAACGATCCACTTAGCGTCGCTAGCGTGACGTATTCGCGGTCCTCCAACGCGCCACGGCACGCGCCTTTCACCACCAACACCGATTTCGACATGCGGCAGCCGACGCACCTCCGCGACGCCCCATCATGACCCCGGCCCCGATGAACGCTCTTGATCCACCACACCACTGTCACAATGGGCTCGCGCCTAGAGAAGAACTCCGAGTCGGTCCGCAAGCGCATCGCCAGCCACCAGTTTGATGGCGAGGATGGAGAGGAGTACCGCGGCTCGGCCTTTGGCGGCTTTACCGACTACTTCAGGCGGAAGAAGATCAAACTGCAGAATCTCGATGCCGACATACGAAATCAGGCCGGCAACAAACCTCAAATCTTCAAGGGCGTCGTGGCGCATGTCAACGGCTACACGCAGCCATCGCTCAACGACCTGCACACCATCATAGTCCAACACGGCGGCGGCTTCATGCAGTATCTGGACGGGAAGACTACGGTCACGCACATCATTGCCAGTAGTCTGACGCCGAAGAAAGTCGTCGAGTTCCGGAGATACCGAATCGTAAAGCCCGCGTGGGTCGTAGACAGCATAAAAGCGGGCAAGTTGCTGCCATGGAGCGAGTACCGGGTAGTGGATGAGGGCGAGAAGCAGAATGTGCTGGCTTTCAACAAGGATGGTATGACTAGCACCGCGAACGTCAAGACAAGGGGTTACCGGGACCAGACAGATGCCAGCTGGTACACAAGTCAACTGAGGGGAAGCCAGGCCGGTCCTGCTAGTACACCGACATCGAGTAACAGCATGCGCGCGCGCTTTTCGAACAAGAAGCAGCGCCTTCCTACACCGGACGATGACATCGAGGATCTGCCACCCTCCCGCGAACCGGAAGGCCTGCCCGGCCAGGCCAGATCCGGAGAGTCGAGTAAAGCTGCAAAGCTTGTCACACCACCCAAGACTAGCCCTTCAGTAGCCCCGGCCCGTATAGACGATGTGCCGGACGATGTCCACGATTGTCTCTATACGAACCCGAGCTCTCCTCCGCCCCAGCGCGCAGAGTCAAAAGACGGTACCGAAGACCAAGCTGAGCAAGTGCCTCCGGTGCAAGACGCCCAAAAGCCTAAGAACCGGGAGCTGACTGCCGAGGAGCACAACGCAATACTTCTACGGGATCCGAAGGTTCGCAAATCCACCGTTGTGGATCCAGGCTTCCTTGAACAATACTATCGCGAGTCACGTCTTCACCATTTGTCGACATGGAAAGCCGATCTCAAGTCCCAGCTGCAGGCACTAGCGAGCGAGAAGACTTCTTCGCAGAGGGCCAAGCAGAAGCGCGCCCCGGGCGCTCGGCGCTATATTCTCCACGTGGACTTCGACAGTTTCTTCGCAGCAGTCAGCTTGAAGAAACACCCAGAATACAAAGACAAGCCGGCGGTTGTTGCGCATGGCCAAGGCAGCGGGTCCGAAATCGCAAGCTGCAACTATCCTGCGCGAACATTTGGTGTAAAAAACGGTATGTGGATGAAGCGGGCTCAAGAGCTTTGTCCAGACCTCAAAATTTTGCCTTACGACTTTCCCGAGTACGAAGCCACCAGCCGCGCTTTTTACGATGCCATCCTGGCTACCGGTGGTCTAGTGCAGAGTGTCAGTATTGACGAAGCGCTCATCGATGTATCGAATCTATGCATCGCTGTTGGTGATAGCGATGGCAAACAATACTCCGAAGGCAGCAATTATCGCGAGCAGGCGAAAGCCGAAGAAATTGCACTCAACCTACGCGACGAAGTCAGGTCTAGGACTGGTTGTAACGTTTCTGTCGGCATTGGTAGCAACATCTTACTAGCCAAAGTAGCCTTACGCAAAGCAAAGCCTGCCGGACAATACCAAATCAAACCCGAAG